TAACAACACTTCTGAATTCATTTTAGGATTTGTTGTATTAAATATCTTGTCGTATTGGACCTATTAAAATGAAAATAAAATTGCAAATGTAGGAAGTGTAAAATGAATTGAAACGAAAGTTAGTTCAGAAAGAAATCAATTCAGGATTATCTGAAGAAGTGAGCAATAAAGGTTCTATTGATTAGTGTTGAATAAATGAATTTTTGATCTTTCAGATGAAATGCACTTATATAAAGATGCAGACCATGCCTTCATCAATACTTTGATTCGCGGTGATGTTAGTTCATTGACATGGTTCGAATCACCGAATCAGTTCTTTGACGATACCTGTCAAAAGAACCCTTCGCTAGAGCTATGCCATGTCTATTATTCAGCCATTAATTTCCGCGATGTCATGCTTGCATATGGACGACTCCCACCGGATGCTATCCCAGGACAGGTGCATGATTTTATTTGTTCTTAGCAACACCTGCTTGTTTTGAATTCTGTTCCTCGACGACAAGATGAAAGATTGAGATCGTAGATTCCTAAGCTTTATAACAACTGAATGAAAGACAGATGGAAATTTACAAAGGAAAAATGATTCAAAATTCAGCGGGTAGGCCATACCGATGACAATATCAAATAAAGCATTAGTGATGAAATCTTCGTTCTTTTTCTCATCACTCCTTCTTATTTCTTCTTATGTTATTTAGCTCCTTCCATTTCATCTCTTTGTTTTAAATATTATAATAAGTACTGCTAAGTTCTGAACGAGGACTTGAATGTGGAACGGATTCGAAACATCTGTGATTGTGTATTTGAGTTTTATTGCAGTAAATTCAACTAAAATAATTTAGTTCGCGGATCGCGAATGCTTATTGGGTATGGAGTTTTCGGGACGATTGAAGGATGGTATTCGTTTGATGGGTATACTGCCAGCGCAAGCTTTAGCGACCTCTGTAATTGTTGATCGTGAATATGCTTGGACCGTTCCGGATAACTGGTCACTCGCGGACGCTGCAACGGTACCAATCGTATACACCACTGCATACTATGCGCTTGTGATGCGTGGTCGTATTAGACGGGGTGACAAGGTTAGTTATAAACAAAGTATATGATGATATTTTCACTAATCTGAAAGAAAAGCATTCTGTAGCGCCTATGATCTATATGCGCTTCAGTTATATGTACTTAGTGGTCATGTGCAGCTGGAAATCGAGAAACCCGTTGTTCTCGAAATAGGCAGCAATATTAACAGCTCTATCCCCTGGTTACCTTTGATCAACGATGATAAGAGATTGATAATGACCTAACATTTAGGTTTTAATTCATGGAGGTTCGGGTGGTGTTGGCCAAGCTGCAATTGCTGTTGCTTTATCACGTGGTTGTGAAGTTTATACCACAGTTGGGAATGCTGAAAAGAAGGCATTTTTGCAAAAACGGTAAAATATACCAGTTGGTTTGCTTACTAGCAGTAATTTTGCCACAATATTTTTGCCTTTGCACTCGATTATTTGGAATTAAATTTAATCGAACTTGAATACGACAAATTTCGTATCAATCATTGGTTCTTTTTGCAGTTTCCCACAGTTAACAGATAGACATTTTGCGAATTCACGAAATTCCGATTTTGAGCTTCATATCAGGCATCAAACAAGAGGACGCGGAGTTGATGTTGTCCTTAATTCATTAGCACAACATATGTTGCAGGTATGGTTGAATAAGATTATTTTTGTTATCATTAGGAAAGGAAAGATATTTCCGTCATCCTCATTAGGAAAGGAAAGACATTTCCATCATCCTTGTTCAGTGATAAGTGTATGATGTCTTTCTGAGATATTATATGCTGATGATAAACATAATGTTGGGTGATATATTAATTAATCATTAAAAACAGCGTTATTTCAGGCTTCTGTTCGATGTCTTGCTCAAAATGGACGATTCTTAGAAATAGGTAAAGTAGATTTATCTCAAAATTCACCACTTGGTATGGCGGTGTTCCTCAAAAATATTACTTTCCATGGTATACTTCTGGATGCGGTGATGGATCCGAGCGTAGGAAAAAAGAAGACTGGCAGGTTTGTGTTGTAGAAAGTTAAAAGTTTCTTTCGAACCAAGTCATTGAAAGGACTTATAACTCACACAATTTATTTACCAAATTCTGTAAAGTTTTCAAAATGAATCTTATGCTGCATTTCAGGAAGTAGCGCGTTTAGTCCAGGACGGAATCAAAAGCGGAATTGTGCAACCGCTTTCGTACACGGCATTTTCAAGTGAAAAAGCTGAGGAAGCGTTCCGCTTCATGTCGTCTGGCAAACACATCGGAAAGGTATGATACTATTTTAAACATTTATGATATTTATACACCTTATCGATTGATAAGAATCATTCCAATTTGATGCCAGCACCAGATGCAGGCGCAAAGTCTGGCTGGAATAGAATCAGAATAGAATAATTTGGTGGTTAGTGCAACATGATCAAAAAGTTTTGGAAAGAGCAAAAGTTTGAATGTAGGTAAGTGAACTATCGGTCCTTTTCGGAACTTTGAAATTTGAATATCTTTAAATTTCAGTAATACCTTTAAAATTCAGTGATAGCGTTTCTAGATGTCAAATTTCTTTGTTAAGGATTCAGAATACATTTGTGACAGTAGTAGTTTGATTGGTTGAAAACATTTTAGGTTTTAATGGAAATTCGACAAGAGGAACCGGAAAGAGTGTGTTTGCCGTCACCAATTAGGGTGCGAGCGATATGTCGTACATTATGTCACCCAAATTATGTTTATCTCATTACTGGTGGTCTCGGTGGATTTGGTTTAGAACTGTCACAGTGGCTGATTAATAGGGGTGCTAAAAAGTAATTCCATAAAACAAATTGTTTCTTGTTTTTTTTTTTCTTTCTTAAATAATCGAACTTACATAACGAGAAAATGGTTTTGTATATCTGCAGTGTCTTCTGAGAGAACTCAAATAATCTTTGTGACTTTCATCCGTAAGTTGGTGACTTAGAAATCAGTCGATAGCTTCAATCATTTTAACTCTACCAATCTTTTGAAAGGAAGCCTGAAATATTTGTTACGGATAAGTAAAAGTAAATTATTACATTAGAAATGGTGTAAAAACTAGATGGTATATGTTGCAGATTGGTGCTAACTTCTCGAATGGGAATCCGAACAGGTTATCAAGCTCGTTGTGTTCACTTTTGGCGTCGAACGGGTATTTCGGTTCTTGTTTCAACGCTCAATATCGCACATCTATCAGATGCCCATGAGTTGATATCACAGTGCAAAGGATTGGGTCCAGTTGGCGGTGTCTTCCATCTTGCCATGGTATTACGCGATTGTTTGTTTGAAAATCAAAATGTACAAAATTTCAAAGATGCTGCTGAAGCAAAATACTGGGGAACATTGAATCTAGATGCTGCTACTAGAAATGCATGCGGTAAAGAACTTAGGTGGTAAGTTCATCATTACTTTAATTGTTGCAATCAGTATTTTCAGTGACATTCTATACTTTTTTTTTAGAACTATTCACTTACACTATCGAAAGTTAAGCGTTAATATCAACATTTTTAAACGATATATGTATATGTTCATTTCGGTAATTTCAAGGAAGTGCTGTTATATGCTTCAGTCTTTCCTAAAAAATTCGAAAATTCTAATTATTCAATATAACAGTAGTAACGGTAAATATTTTAAACAGTAAAAATAAATATTATGCAATTTTCTCTAGGTTTGTCGCATTTTCGTCAATCACTTCGGGACGTGGAAATGCTGGACAAACAAATTATGGCTGGTCCAATTGTACAATGGAAAGGATCATTGAACATCGTCGAGAAGATGGTTTACCGGGTATTGCAATCCAATGGGGAGCGATTGGTGACGTAGGAGTTATCCTGGAAAATATGGGTGATAATAACACTGTTGTTGGTGGTACTTTACCGCAACGAATGCCTTCTTGCTTGGCTGCTTTGGATTTATTCTTATCTTGGAATCATCCTATTGTTGCCAGGTTTTCATTATACCCTTTTCTGCGCAAGTCATTAGTGCACAATGTACATTTGCTTATTACTGCTTGAGCTTACACTGAATAAGTTTAAGGCTAAGTCGATTTGGAACACTCTTCATTTAACTTCAATTTCAGTTACATCAAAGCAGACATTGGTGCTAAAAAAGTTGGAAGTAGTGGAAATTTGTGGCAAACAATGGCCCATATTTTGGGTGTGAATGATGCAGCACAGTTGAATCCAGATGCTTACTTAGGTGATTTGGGACTCGATTCACTTATGGGTGTTGAAATTAAGCAAGCTCTTGAACGAGATTATGACATCGTTTTGTCCATGAAAGATATTAGAACAGTGAGTTTCATTTAATACTATGGTAGTATTTAAATTGATTAAACGTCTGATAGTATTTCAGATATCTTCTCATCGTTAGCTTAATTTTATCACAGCTGTTCTGAGGGTAATAACAGCATCAATACTTATATATATATATATATATATATATATATATATATATATATATATATATATATATATATATATATATATATATATATATATATATATATATATATATATATATATATATATATATATATATA